CAACAGCCTGCGCGGCCCTTGGTAACCCGGGCGACGACCGAGCCGGTATAATTTTCGATGGCGTCAATATCGTGAGTGGCAGGTGGCTGAATTTTACAGAGACTTGCCAGGTCTCCAACCCTCCTCCCCGGGCTTGGGACCGGCCATTGCGGAGAGTAACATTGGCGGCTTTTTTCCAAAGGAGCAGTTGCTTTCGCCTCATCACAAGATTCTCATTTTGTATTGTGATTTTTTTGTAAGGAACAAACATTTAGTGCTCAAACCCTGCCACACCCTGATGACATCACCGATGGCCGTGTGTAAGGACTGTCCTATAAAATTTAAGTGGTATGTGCCATTGCAAACTTTAAATAACCCCGTTCCCTGATGATTAGAAACTGTGCAATGCAGTACAGCGCGAAACCTAGTATAATGTGCTATGCGCCAAGTACTTCTGTGTTTGGCATACTTTTGTAAGTACTGCTATATTTGTCGGAACGGCCAGTAGTTGCTTCGAATCGGGCTGACTGCAATACACTCAAGATATGCTGTAAGAGCTGGAAAGTGACGGTGGACAGGTGAGCCTGTGAATCAATCAGTCAAAGACGGTGATATTGCGAGCGGATGCCCTACGAGATCAAGTAATACTAAACGGCGAAAGGATCGAAGAAGTCGATAAATACATTTACCCAGGCCTAGAGGTCAGTATTCCAATACACAAAATGATCAAGCTGGGGAAAGTTAGCGAAGAAAGAGGGACGGTCTACGCGCGTAACATTTTGTCAAGATCGCCCCTCGACAGCATCATCTGTGAAACCCACGCCGACCTCTTCAATTGTACCGTTTTACAGGCAATGTTTTATGGCTGTGAGACACTGTCACTCGCTAAAGTCAACGATCACCAGTAATGTGTCACTGCGGGAGTGATGGAAGGAAGAATGTTGGCAATTTTACGTCACGACTATATCCCTCCACGAAGTTCCGATAGGCCGGGCATGTAACTCGGCTTATCGACGGAAAACGGTCGCGATCATCGTCGGCTGGGCTCTCACGGGCGGAATAATGTCGCCTCGGCACCCCTCCCTCCATGACGGTGGAAAGATTGTACCAGAAGCCTGGAAGGCCGCTCTCTGAAGGAGAAAGCAGTTACATCCACAGTAGTATATGTAGTTGTTTTTAAATACATGGTATTCGTGTTGCATCTGGTCAGTGCATGCACTGTTACACACAGTTGTTTAATTACCGGATGTTACTTTGCATATTGTTGTGTATGTGACTATTTATTCAAGATACATACGACAGTATATAAATTAGTATGGTATAACGTCCATAGTCATATGCTACAGTGTATGCAGTTAAATTGGTGCGTCTGTAGTTGTACGTATTCTTTGATGGGGATGCATCTTATA